TTTGTCAATACACTTCATGTAATGGCTAACTACGCTCACAGCCTGTGAAATGTCTAAGCCTAGTGCATACTATAGCATATATAATATTACCTACTGCACTAGAATAAGGAACACGAGACATATGCTCCTCCTCATCCTCAGTTTGTGGTGATAACTTATCCGATAGTTTAAAGTGCTTTACTAATAACCATACCACAATCTTCTCAATATATTTCTTTTGAGACAGACGTAAAATTCCAGTAGTCCTATCATGCAAAATCTCCATTCCCAATAATTTCTTTACTGCACCTAAATTTTTCATCTCAAACTTAGCACTCAATTGCCTCTTCAGCACATTAATATTAGACATATTCTTAACTGCTATTAGCATATCATCAACATATAATAACAAATAAATCAAAGACCGATCATCCAATCTTTTAAAGTAAACACAACTATCCATATAATTTTTCAAATAGTCCTGACTAGCCATGAAAGCATCAAAATACTTATACCACTATTTAGAAGACTATTTCAACCCATATAAAGATTTATTTAACAAACAAATATCGTTTTCCTTACTTGGAACAACAAATCCCTCTGGCTGGCTCATGTAAATCTGCTACTCCAACTCACCATGAAGAGAGGCTGTTTTCACATCTAGTTGCTCCAGCTCGAGATATTGTAAAGCAACTAAGGCAAGTAAAATACATATAGAAATATGTCTTATCATAGGAGAGAACACCTTGTTGTAGTCAATGTCTTCCTGCTATGTATATCCTTTTACAACAAGTCTCGCCTTATATCTCGCTGCCTCGACATCAGGAATGACCTCCGTTTGTAAATTTACTTGCTTCCAACAATCTTTAGGCACTTTGGTACTTTGACCAACTCCCATGAATGATTTCAATAGAGTGATTCCATCTCTTCACTCATAACCCCAAGCCACTGCAACGACTTACTACTAGCCATCGCCTTAGAGTAAGACGAAGACTCATATATCTCCACCTCGTCACCTACAATCAATGCATAAGCAATATTAATATGACCATAACGTATCAGTGGTTTGATTTGCATTCTTTGTCTACCCGTGACTATAGTATGTTGTGGCTGTGCTGGTTGTTCACTATCACCGATTTCAAGAACTGCGGCCTCATCTCTAGTCTCAACCTATGTTATCTTCGAGGTCTCCGAAGTCTCCACTGGAAACTCCACCTCACTATTGATACCATGATATGTTTGCTCTGCTGGTAGTGTCATTGAAGCATTATAGTCTTGTCGAAGATCATGTCTTTACTGATTAGAAAATCGAGTGATCTAAGATCAGTGCACAATAAATGGTAGCCTTTTGCCTTATGTGCATAACCCAGAAATATGCACTTCTTCACCCTCGGCTCCGGCTGACCATCATTGGCATAAACATACGCAGGACATCTGAATACTCATAATCCAGAGTAATCAACAGGTTTCGTCGATGATACTTCTTCAAGAGTCTTCGACTCGATAACAGATGGTGGAGATCGATTAATCAGGTAACATGCCATGTTCACTGCTTCGGCTCAAAATTCTTTACCTAGTCTTGCATGCAAAAGCATGCATTGAGCTCGCTTAAGTAAAGTTCTGTTCTTCTGTTCTGCTACGCCATTCTACTGTGGTGTCTCAGGTACTGTATAGTGTCTCATAATCCATTCTCTCTTGTAGAAATCGATAAAATCTTGACCACAAAATTTCATGTCCTTATCAGTTCTCAGACACTTGATTTGTTTATTTGACTGCTTCAGAAAGTATACCCAAACCTTCCTCAAATAGTTGTCGATAAATGTCAGCATATATCGGGCACTTCCTTTCAAAGAAACCAGAGACGGGCCCCATTCCTCTTAATGAATGTACTCAATTGGTTGATTGGTCAAATGATAGCTGTAGTAAACTTAATTCGGTGCTACTTCTTAAAGATGCAACACTCACATAAGTCTAGCTTCCCTGTCTTATGATCGTTCAACAACCCCCTCTCACTCAACATCGCTAGACTTGCCTCACTCATGTGTCCTAACCGCATATGCCATAACTGAGTCAAGTCAAAGTCTAACTCATCTAATGAAACTGTAGTAACTCCTGTCATCGTCTCTCGTAGTAAATGATAAAGAGTATTCGCTTTCTTCCCTTTCATCATTGTCATGACACCTCGAGAGATCTTCAGTACTCCACTTTCAATGGCATACTTACACTGGATATCATTGAGTATCCCTAGAGAAATATGGTTCTTCTTGAGATATGATTCATGCTTCACGTCTATCAGTGTGTACACCACCCCATCGTGCATCCAAATCCAAACTATCCCTATCCCCACAACCTTTCCCATCATAACTCTACCACCATCTGCAGTCTGGTAAGTAGTAAACCAGTTGTTATGATGCGTTATATGATAATAACACCCCGAATCTAGCACCCATTCGTCTCCTAACGAATTAGTAGCCATACTACTTGTGGCATTGTGCCTGTCACCTCGGTTTCTTCGCTTCGAACAATCTTTCCTAATGTGCCCCTTCTTGTGACATTCAAAGTATTTCATGTGTCCCTTGGACTTTCTATGGCGTGACTTTGATCTGCTTTTAACTCTACTGATATTGGGCCCCCGATATTGATCTCTACCTCGAATCACTAGTCCTTACGCTACATCTTACGATAGACTGTCATCTCGCAACTTTCTCTGCCACTCTTTAGAAAATAAGACGGACTTTATCGCTGCACCTCTATAGTAGTGAATCAGTAAAGTGCTCCCATGAATCTTATAAAGAAGCTAACAACATCATGCCCAGCTTTTTGGGCCTAGTAAATAATTTCTCTTTTGATTCTTACATACTTAGGTTGCGCAATTAGCTGGTTCAGACTTGATCATTTCATATAGAATACTCGATAACTTTTTAATCACAAGAGGACCTGAGCAAGATTTAGTCCAAGTACTCGGCTTGATCGTCCGGCAATTAGACTTGGTCATTGGGGAGGCCGAGGCGGGATCGGGCCGGTTCTGCTCGGGCTTGAACCTCTTGAAAACTCGCCATGGCTTGATCTTACAGGCCCGAGCCTACCCAACAGAAAAACATTAGGGGCCTGGCCTGTCCATCGGGCCATCTTTTTATTTTGAGATAAGTATACCGGAAGTTCTAAAACTTGTCACGGTCCTAAAACTTTTAAAAAGTGTAATCAAATCCTAAAATTCGTCAAGTTAGTGCAATTAAGTCCTTCCATTAACTTTGTCCAACTTGATAAATGACAAATGACAACAATTTTTAGGATTTAATTGTTCAAACTTGACAAGTTTTAGGACTTGATTGCACTAATTTGACAAGTTTTAGACTTGATTGCACTTTTTTAAAGTTTTACAACTCAATTGCACTTTCGTGACAAGTTTTAGGATTTGATTGCACTTTTGGTATTGTGTCAAGTTTTAGGACTTTTAGTACACTTATCCCTTTTATTTTTAAAATTTCAGCTAAAAATTTAAAGAAATATAAAAAATAGATGATAAATAATTTAAGGGTATTATTTTATTGTACTACTTTATCTATAATTTTTATACTATTTTTCTATCCTGCATTAGAAATTTGAGGTTATTTTATCCTGTTAGAGTTTATAAATTTTTAAAGTCAAAAGAAAAACTTATTAGTAAAATATAATTTATCTATTTTCTAATAAATGTATAGATACGACTAGCCTTAAGGCCCTTACCCAAGCATAGCTTGCCCACTAACCAGACCTAAAGCCTTTGTTGGGCTGAAAAATAATGGGTGGGCTGGCGGGTTACCCACCCATTGATCAAGTCTATTATAATCATATAACATATAGATTTACACTATTATTTTTTGATGTTAATGTATGAAAAGTGATATTTTTCAAATACTCTTGATTTTTCAATGGATAACACTAGGGGTGTCAACGGGTCGGGTCGGGTCGGGTCGGGTTTTCATGATACCGACCCGACGAAACAAGACCCAAACATGATATATGCACAATCGGGTCGGGTTCGGGTCGGTTCGGGTTCGTGTTTAGAGGTTTACTAATCATTATTGAAATGATACAAAAGATAGAAAATGAAGGGGGCTAAGTACATTGATAAGGCTTCGTTGACAAAACAATAAGCTGGCCTTTGCGGCTAATATGGACATTCTCTTTCCAACTATACATACCCCATCTACATTTTTGTTAGTTGATGGGGCTTGACAATCGTTGTTTCTTCTGCGGAAAAATCGAGTCGATTGCTACGCTTTCTACCACCCATCAAGCGTAGAATTCCTACCCTAGCGAAGAGCTTGTGTCTGCAGCCTTCATCGTTACTCAAGCTAGATGGCATCATGCGCAGGGCGCATTCCGCATAATGCAACGAGAAAACGAAGCAACTGATTCGGTGAATCTTTGAAAGTCTTGTCAATAAAGGTAAAGCAAGAATTTGGGGAAAGTTACTGACAAAGAACCACGAGAGCATTGCAAAAGCTCCGAATTTGAACACTCAGCCAGATAATTCGGCTAACGAACCCATTTGGATACGAAAATCAAAAGCCAAGCAACACCATTTGTCGCACCCGAAACATCGCTTGAAATTCGGCACGCACGCAACACTAGCACTAAAATCACGAATTACAACACGTAACTCCCTTTACCCCAAACTACACCCGAAACAGTCGAGAACGACGGCGGAACGCTAGAATCGAGCAATCGTGCACCCGAGGGAACTGGGAGGAGCACGCAATCAAACGAACGAGCCTGCGGCAATCGGGTGCAAGAATCACTTAACGCGACGGCCCCATCCGGCGAACACCAACCGGAACACCCAAAGGGGAAGACTCACCGGAAGGCTAGGACGGCGACGGCGACCCACCGCGACGGTCAGCCGGCGGAGCCATGGCGGCGGTTCCTCGGAGTCGCGATCGCACGAGCTCCGCCCGGGCGCCGGCGAGAGATCAGACAATTGAAGCGGGAGAGGGATCTCGGCGGGGGCGAACTCGAAGCTCGCGAGAGCCTCGGATATGGAGGTCGAAGGAAGGAGGGACGGTGACGATGAAGTTCCCGTCGCGAGGAGGTTTCCGTCCGTCACTTTGAACAAGAAGATAGGGTTTCGGCGCGCTTGGAACAAGAAGGACAAATGGGTGGGCTTGTTTCAGGGCGGGCTCAGGTAAATCCAAAACAAGTTGAAGGTTTGTTTTTATTATTACCCAAACAAGTTAAGGCCAACCCGACCCAATATGAAAATTCCTTGTTTGGATCGGGTCGGTTCGGGTCGGGTCATGTTTGAGCGGGTTTTTGACACCCCTAGATAACACAAGAAGTAAGAACAATTTAGTAGTTAGATATTGATTAGGACATTTTTCTTATAGACTTATTTAGCTCATAACTAAATATGCAAGTTTCTGTGAATTATAATATAGTTGAGGTAAAATGTGATAATTCTTATATACTATCACCGCCGCAGGTGGAGGTGCTGGGACACGCGGCCACTGGTGGGTTCGTGTCTCACTGCGGTTGGAACTCCATTTTAGAGGGCTTGTGGCACGGAGTACCGATCGTGACGTGGCCCATATATGCGGAGGAGCAGCTGAACGCCTTCGTGATGTTGAAGGAACTGGGCTTAGCGGACGAGTTGAGGCTGGACCACAAGGGGCGTGGCGTTGGTGGCAATCTAGTGCAAGCGGAGGAGATAGAGAGGGCCGTTGGACGCTTGATGGGCGGCGGTGCCGCATCGATGAGGAAGAGGGTGAAGGAAATGAGGGAGGCGGCGAGGAACGCCGTGAAGGAAGGTGGATCTTCGTATGATTCTATTGGAAAGTTGATTCAAGACTTCATCAAGAGCATTGAATAAAAAGCTCAACAAAGAGTTAGTATTTGTCTTAAATTGTAACCATCACGTAGATGTCACTTTGATCTTGCTCTGTCCTTTATTTCTTGCTAGCAAGGTGTCCTACTCCAATCTTCAACGAACATGCTTACTAATTTGTCTGAAGTTTATGAAATTACCATTCGAATTGGCGGGTGGTGGGAGTTGGAATTGATTCGGATCTCGCATCGCTCACTAGAAGAATGAACTTTGGCAAGTCATTGTACTCGTTTTGCTCAGTAACCATGATGACGAAGCTGTAAGTTATTGACAATTTATGATCCCATTTCTAGAAATATCTAGCATTTATATATTGATCCATTTTGTAAAAAGCCTAGACTCCTCTAGAAATGCCAACAAAACTCTAATCTACTAATGGCAGTTGGAGCCTGTGGCCTGGAATGAAAGAAAATCTCTGACAAAGCAGAGATATTATGCACGATAAAGTCGGTCATCGAGCTCATCTGAAGGCTTTCTGATCATGCATTCGGGTGTGTGAGGAGTAGAGCTCATAGCCTACATCTCACGCACTCCTCCACCAACACCTCCATCAACTGTATTTGTAAAATTATTTTGTTCAGCTAATGAAACTATTTTTCTTTTATCTCATGACCTTCGGCCCTTGAACTATCCTACCTTGTTCCTTATTCATTCTCTACCAAATACATATTACATACTACACATGTATACACTTGCACATTAAGCCACAAATTATTCTTGATACCAAAACTATGCTTCCGCGCACATGTTAAATTTCCAATGTGACATCAGAGCTCCAAATTCTACAGAGTGTTTGTTTGTGGAATGCCTGTTCAAAGATAAGTAAATGTAGATCTACTCAACTCTTTGCATACATTTGGATTACTTGTAGCTCGATATATAAGTGGGTCAGGTACCTTTGGTAGGATATGTGTCGCAACCTAAAATTTCTCAGGCTAATGAATTATTAAGACTAAACGATAACGTGGCCCTCCCAAGCCCTACCAATTCGTAACTTAGGGTTTAAGTTTTTAACATGCAAAAGTTTTCATGCTTGGAGTCGTCACTAATCTATTTGTGGTAGGTCGATTAGAAACCTAAATAAAACATAGGGAGATATGTTTATTCCTACAAACGAGATATTCTAAGCTCGGGGACTTGGTTACGCTAGATCTAGTCTAACGCCCTTCGATACCTTTTCTTTTCAAAAAGATTTATGCAGGCATCTGGATCCATTTTATTACCTAATCACTAACATGTGAGGTGTTCATGCGGGTGCGCAAACCACCATTTAACACCCAAGAAAGCAATAAATAGATTGCAAGATTAGGAGAATGACGTACCTTAATGCAACACAAGCATCTGCATTGTTAGTAGAAAATCACACACAGACAATCCTAATATGATTTCTAATTAACAAAGGAAAGCACTCAAGATGTTGTTTAGGGTTTGCGCTTTATTAAAATGCAAACTAACCTATGTGCAATGACGTGCAAAAATGACATGCGATTAATGCAACCTAGCCATGCGAACTATATGTCATGCGACGACGTGAGCTAATTCTAATGACGGACAAATGATTTATTTTTGGTATTTTTCCAATGAAATTCGAAATTAAAAAAATAACCTAAACAATCTATTAGGATTAGAATAACACCTAATTTAAACTAGGAAATAAATTATCTTAAGTCCCGATTTAAATTAAATAATTATCCTATCTTCTAGATTCATTTAGGATTTCCTAAACATGCAAAACTCCTAATCTAAATCCTAACATATTTTTGGATTTCTTATTAAACAAAAGCAATCAAACAAAGATAACAACCGCATTTAAACAATCCACGCAATCCGCAAGATTCTTCTTATCAAATTTGAATTAGGAAAGAGAATCGAGGCTAACGGTCATATCTATAGGGTTATAGATATCAACGGAGAAGCCGATTATTCGAATTTAGAAAGCGAATTAAATCTATTATCGTATCCAAGTGATTATGGATAAGATAACGATTTTCCATATCGCCGTGTATCGTACCTTATGGATAAGGTCGGATAGTCGTCCAAATACGTTGCCAAATTAGGAAAAATTCCTAATTTTGGATATTTTCGAATATTGCGGATATAACACACATTATCGTAAGATAGCTAGCTATCCACGCAATATTCACGAAATATTCAAACATCAGAAAATTAGGAAACCAAATATTTTGAAAATATCAGATAACGTTCTTACCTAATTTCACAAGCAGCTTGTCAGCATCGCGGCTAAGGATGCTCCCGGTGGGTGACTTACGGCCGACGAGGGCGTGATGGTTCACGAACGGTCGCGCGATACTCTATCGTCTATTCTTCTCCCCAATGTCTATAGTTGCCACACGTTCAAACTCTTCAACTGTTCTTATGATTGCAAGAAATAAAGTCACAAAGCCCACGATGCTATTATCAAATCTGGACAACACTCAAAAGAAGACAGATCCACCACTTAAATTATTTAACCGAGATTCTGACAACTCTTTTTGACCGTGGACTTCAGACTTGCAAGCTGCGACCATATGTTGACATGGTTCGGGAGATGTTGGCCTTACTGGACCTTGACGAAACCGTCAAACTAGACGGAACTCGCAGGAATCTTCGATGATTCTGAATTATGGCGACGGTGGTTGAAGTGACCCTGGGATATGCTTGTTCACGGTACAGCAGATCGCGGATCGTCGGGAGTGCAGGAGCTGCTCGGATGATTGATGCAAGAAGAAATCACGGTCCGTCGGGGCAGCAGCGAGTCGAGCAGTAGGCGACTCACGGCCATGGGTCTGGCGTGAGCAGAGGGCATGGCGTCGGTATGGCGTGGCGGGCAGCAAGCTGGTACGGCGGCGCGGGCGCGGCATGACGGTGCTGGTGCAAGGTGAACCACCTGCGATCCTCTCTCACTCTCTCGCTCCTTGATCTTGCTCTCACTATTCCTCACGTGTGTCTCTTGTGCTCTCAATGGTTGTTTTCTGGAAATTCTGAGCGCTTTCTGATTATAACGCATAACGACATATTTATATCGCAACCCTAGGTTAATTAACCGGGCTTCCTAGTCCTAATGGGCTTAGACTTAGGCTTTATCATTTAATTTTATTTTAATTCCAAATGGGCTAAATTAATTCGGACTGATTTAAGCTCAAATTAAAACAACTAAAGTCTTTTAGACTTGTGAATTTTGGCCCCCAATCCCTTGAGTGAGCCGAGTGCTCGGAGCTCGGTTACGCGATGAATTTTTTTCTTCGCCACCGCCGATCCGATACGGAATGCAACTAACCTATATGAACTTAAACTATATACTATGCAATTTTAATATTTTTGTTTAGGGGTTAAAATTTAATTCTTAATTTTCTATGTAAATTATTATTAAATGGTCGATCGAAATTTAGGTGCCAATAATATGCTTTAATGGAATTGAACACTGGGACAATGCAATTCAAGTCGAACGATAACGTGGTCGTCGACCCTTCGACATGCTTCGTTCATCCTCCCCACAGGCTTCTCGAAAGTTGAGGCTCACTGCGCATTTCGTGAGGATGAAAGGTTTGATTTGACAGCCCAAATATCTGAAGCCTACAATAAGTACTGCCAGGTTGCAACCTCGACCTTGCAAAATGTTGCGCATTTGGAATGATTTTAAAATCTTTTCTACTGGTAATCTAGTATCCTTAGCAAATAAATCTGGGCACATGAAAGAAGTTTGGGAATTTGCTCAACAAATGATACCATTTAAAGGGAAGTCATAGATGGACTGACATGGAAAAAACAAAAACAATTCCACAATCACTATCATCCAAAAGTCAAAGCCATAATCGACCGAAGTTAAGCTTATTGGATTAAGAAAAATGAGTTCATATGTGATTGGGGTGCACGCTGGGAGTTCATCTCATGTGGTTTGGTATCTGAGTGGAACTCTCTTCCTCAAATTTGTCTACTTGATACCCGTCATGATATCTAAATTCATCATATGCATTTCCTTATGTCGATGGGATATGGATATATCTCTGCAGCACTTGTTTGTCCTCCCGCGCACGAAGCGGAGCTGTTTAGGAACTGATGTCCACAACCACCGTAAGAGCCATGTCAAATCTCTCCACATTTGAAGTCGGGCCGATCATGAGCAACGTGCTCTTGGTTTTCTTGTCTCTTTTCATCGAGCTTGTGCCATTTGAAATCTATCTTTTGAAATCACAAATGCAAATTTTTCTACTCATAAGTTGAACTTTATCTACTTAAGCAATTGTACGAAAGAACGCCTTTGTTTTCATAAATTAGGTGAATGGCAAATTAATGTCTAGTAAAGATTTCTCCTAGTCTTCAGGTGCAATAAGAAAAAAGATCTTGAGAGTTCTTGCAGGAAGAATCCCATGTCTTTTTATTTAGGGGGTTTAACAAAATCCAGACATTTTGATATTTACTGTTAATGTTTGCCCCATGAACAGCATAGGTTAGTGAGTTATGTATGTGATAAGAGCACTTTTGTCCCTATCCAGATATTCTTTGTTTAAGCAATGTTTTTTTAACCATTTTTTTGTGGAACATCTGCATATTTTGTTGTTTATCATAGGATTAAGGACCACGCATGCAGAGATTCATGAAGATTTGAGATTTTGTGAGATCACTGCAAATTATTTTAAAATTTAAATTGTCGAATGAAGGCGATATTTAATATTTAAATATTTAAACATGTTGTACAACATTTGTTTGACCCACTTTCCTTTTCTCACTGTAGTGAGAAAACCAAATCTTCACATGACGTATGCATATACACAATTTTTATTCGTGCCATGGGCTAAATGGTGGCAAAGTTGTCGAGCCCAATCAGATAGTTTATATTAACACCGACAATCCAACGGATGATAACCACTGTGAAACAATGGTTGACGATGATTGTCAATCAACTGGCCGCTCATAAAGGATCAAATAAGTTGTGCTTGTGTAAAATAAAGGATAACAATATAGAAGTGCCACAACTTTCATCGATACGCTCACTTTAGCCTATAACTTTTTTTTTTTCGCTCACTTAAGTGTCACAAATTTGAAAAATCGATCATTTGAGTGCTATCGGCGATTTGCTTCGCCAGAAATCTGACATAGACGCCGGAAAATCCAACATGGACAATTTTTAAAAATTTATTTAATTTAATTATTCTTTTCTATCATTTTTTTTATTTTTATTTGGCCAATCTAATTTGCAAATGGGCACGATAAAGAACTTCATCTTTCCCATGGTTGGGGGTACTGTAGTGTCTGGGGATTTTGGCTAGTCGAGCCCAAATCCGACGAGGGCTCCGCCGCACGCCTCGTCACTCAAGACGCCCAGTAATTCTTCCTCGCTCCACTTATCATACTTATCAAATGTGTTCTTGTACAATTCGAGGCGCCCTTTGTCCGGAGTTTGGTCTTGATAGTGTCGAGCGGGGCGAAGCACACGTAAGTGAACACGTCGGCGATCCTACCTTCCGTAGCACCGATTGGGGCTCACTTGAAGATGGAGAGGTTCTTCATGAGGGACTACACTTTGAAGTTGTTTCTTGAGGTGGGTTTGATCAATTTTGAGTAATTAGGAGGGAAATTAGGGTTTTTGAGAGAGGAGGCTTGTGGAGGAGAAATTGAAGTCGGCGGCAGGATGTGCAGTAGTCTTGGGGGTCTCGAGGGTGGAGGCAAAATGAGGGAGTTGAAGTGAGTGAAGAGCCTCGTCAATTTGGATGGAATGGGTTGGTGATTGAGGTGCGGAAATAGGAGGTCGAGAGATGCAGAGAGCCTTCCCTCCATTCTTTCTCTCAAGCTTGAAGTTCAATCAACTCTTGGCTACCATGGCTGATCGAGCTTCAAGCTCATGGCGAAACACCTTTGCCCAGTCATAGAAAACGGGGAGCACTTGATCGGTTGTTTGTTGATGATAAATTGTTCCCTCTGATCTCCTAGTTTGGCATCCCCATTCTCCGCTCTTCATTTGACATAGCATATACGCATTTTTATCTGTGCTGGGGGCTCAATGGCGGCAAAGTCGTTAGAGCTTGAGCGGCCATGGTAGACCCTCCCTATCTCCCTAAGTTTTTCTTTTTCTTTCTTTTTCTCCCTTAGTGTTTTTCTCTCTTTTCTTTTATGCTACATGACGTGGCAATATATTCATCCTTTTATTTTTGAAAATTTCCACGTACAAATGAAAAATTAAATAAAAAATTCACGTAAAATTGGGTGGAGAAGAGGCCAAGAACAAAGCAATGAGCAAATTTCCAGTGACTTACATTCGAAACATTCCCTGACTGTGGAAATTAAGTTATGCTTATGTCAAATATAAAGAAGCAGACGGAAAAATAAACATAGGGAGTTTTATAATTTTATAATCGTTATTCTGCTTAAATAAATTTAGAAAGGCCTATTAAGGCTCTATTTTTTACATTGAAAATGAACTATATGAAAATCATTTTTCTAAAAATGATCACTTATATTGCTTGAAATAATTAGTCAATGAAAAATATTTTTATTACCGACAATAATTTAAGTCTAAATATTTTCGTGGATGATGAAAAATATTCATTTTTGTGAGCGATGCAAGCAATTATTTTTAAGAAAATATTTTCCAAATCATTCATTTTCCTGTGAAACAAATGCACTTTTGTGGTCACCGTTATGCCGAAACAAACCTCGGAAGTCTTGTAATTTCTCTAGACCGTTATTATGTCTGTTTTAGTTTCTACATTAGATAAATCTCGTGCATGTCATGGTTTTCTTAAAAAAAACGTTTTAAGAATTACATTTTCAGTTTTCAAAAGGCAATATTATCTATGGCCAGGAGGACGAAAATACCCCAGTCTAAGTATGCTAAATAATAACATGGCTTCATTGATTTCAAAGCTAAGCGTGCATCATCAAATAAATTAGTCAATTGAATATACGTCACAAATCAAGACTTTTTGCATACTTGCGCGTCATTTGCATATTTTCAAAGGACAAACTCACATGGCGCACGGAGTCACGCGAGGGCACAAGGCGATGCGGAAATTTCACCTCATTACGTCTTTTGGAGAAACCGAAATCGCATATGTAATATCAAGAGATTGTTTGATAATTGCATTTCAAGAACTTAATTGAAAAATGTGGTACCAAAATGACATTTTGGGGATTTATTATTGCCGAAATCACATATGTACCAAACCTTTGCCGGGCATTTCTTCCCTTGACATAGGAGACAAGTAAATTCCTTTGCCGATGCCGATCTTGTCTCCTCCATCATGGAGAAGATGAGATCCAGCCGCTGCCCAATCCAAGGCACAAGCGCGACGACCACAGAGAGAAAGATAGGATTTCAGTGGGCATATATTTTCCAATATGGAAAAGAATGCTCATACAAAAATAATTACCGTGCCGATGTTTTGATGGAGTGTTCGCGTGTTGAAGCTTTAAAAAAATTAAAAAAAATAAAATGTAAAATCACTCCAGTATCTTATTTTGAGGGGACCTAGATGCCAAGCAAAGTTGAACATTTTCCATTCATCGTCCCCACAAGTTTTTATAACGTTTAGGCTCCCTGCCTAATTCGGGAGGATGAAAGGGCTGACTTGACAAACCACCAAATTATCACTAATCAGAAGCCGACAAAAAGTACTGCCAGATGCAACCTCAACCTTACCTTAGCGATAAATCGGATGAAAAGAAATTGGAAAATTTGCTAAACGAATGGGACCATTCTAGAGGGGAAATTTAAAGACGGACTGACATCGGAAAGGAACGGTTCCATCATCACTATCACCCATAGTCAAAGCCATGGTCAACCGAAGTTAGCTTATTCGATTAAAAAAACAAAGAGTATGGATGTGCATCGGATACACCAACCGGAGTTCACCTCCTTAAATTCGTCCACTTGATACCCATCAAGATATACATATTCATATACTTGTTTTATTTTTATCACTCGACTAACCTTTATCGGATGTCCTAATTTTCTATCCCATTCTCATCACCAATAATCATAAAATGGACGCGTCTCTATGCTCCCAAAGGCTAAATCCGGCCACGACGGAGTTGTTTAAGGACAGCAAGTCCCCAACAACCACAAAGACCAATGCGAAATCTCTCAACATTTCATGTCGGGCGCAACCTCCTGCAATGTGTTTTAGGTTTTCTTGTCTCTGGCCTTGTTGTCCTAAGCAATTATTGCTTGGGGAAACTCAATAAATTAAGACTAACTAACAAACAAAGACTAAATGAGAATGGACATCCAATTCGTATGAAGCGGACAATATCCGAGCTTCCAAGATAAGCTTGTCCCCTTATTTTGCAAATTAATTCTGGTAGACTTTATTCGATGATAATTATATATAATTCACCTACTCAAATGCCCATTTTGTTATACGGTTTAATTTATTAATCTTATAAACAAGTCTTAAGATATATAACAGCACTCATTTCTTGTTCGTCAGTCTGATAATCATGTCCCAAGTCATTCTTTACATCATCGTTTGACGGAATGTTCTTGTCTTACAACACGAAACCTATTCATTCCTAAGCATATCTTTCTTACTGCATCAATCAAGCCATTCTTGTTTTTGGGCCCATCTGCTGTACGAAGTCTTCTTTGACGAAAAACACTCGTTGAAGAAGACAAAGCTCTAAAGTCTCGCTAACCGTCGCCAATGAAGAAACCGGAGCTCATATTCATCCCAGCGCCGGGCGTCGGTCACGTCATCTCGGCCCTCGAGTTCGCGGCCCGCTTGCTCGGCCACGACCCTCGAGTCTATATCACCGTCCTCGCCATTAAAGCGCCCTTCAACTCCCACTTGGACGCTTACACCAAGTCGCTCGTCGCCTCGCAGCCGCGTGTTACCCTCATCGACCTCCCTCACGTTGACCTACCACCGCCCGAGCTCCTGCGCTCCGTCGAGCACTATTTTACCGTCTACATCGAGAGCTACATCCCGCATGTCCAGAGAGTGGTCGGGGAGATCCAACGTTCACGAGCTGGTTCCGGGTCGGATCGGTCCGTGGCCGGGTTTGTCCTGGACTTCTTCTGCACGTCCATGATGGATGTGGCCGCCGGGTTCTCGCTCCCTTCTTACATCTACCTTACCAGCAACGCGCACTTCCTGGGCCTCATGTTCCACTTGCCAGCTCGACACGACCAGGTCGGGAGAGAGGTCCGACTGTCCGATCCGGACCTGCCTCTTCCCGGTTTCACCAACCCAGTTCCCGTCTCTGTCTTGCCATCAGCAGTGTTAGACGGGGAAGCCGGCGGCTACGCGGCCTACGTCAAGCTGGCTCGCAGGTTCAGGGACGCCCGGGGAATCATGGTGAACACGTTCAAGGAGCTGGAGCCATTCGCCGTCAGCTCGTTCTCCCGAGGAAGCTCGGACGGCCCGGCCGTGTACGCGGTCGGACCGGTAATCGACCCGAAGGGTGTGCCGGATCCTTCTCTGGACCGGGCTCACTGGGAGAAGATCCGGGAGTGGCTCGACGAGCAACCGCCGTCCTCGGTGGTGTTCCTGTGCTTCGGGAGCATGGGGAGATTCGATGCGGACCAAGTGAAGGAGATCGCCGCCGGAATCGAGCGAAGCGGGCATAAGTTTCTGTGGTCGTTGCGTCCCGAAAGCTGCCAGGAGCAGCTTCCGGATGGGTTCCTGGAGCGAACGCGAGGAAGAGGGGTCGTATGCGGTTGGACCCCACAGGTTAGTCTTAAGTCTTTTTAATTAGCGACTATATATCTATCTATCTTTGGTGGTAACTCGGGCTCATTGGTTACTTTACGCTAATCTGGTAAATAAAGTAAGATGGGAGCAAATGCTGTATGAGCCGATCACATCTAAATAATTCTGGATTTCACTAAACAACACGAGGTACCGTGATTAGTTTTTGTTCATCACGACACCCACAAATTAAGCCTATATCATATTTTCTTATGTTGCTTGAGATATGAGTAAATCCACGCATAGGTAGAAAGCCTGAAATATGATTTTGGGCAAGCCTAGGGAATAAACCTCCTTCGTTCGAGCCCATTCACTAGAGCCAATCATATGAAGGAGAAAAATGTTATCATATATCATGGGTGTTTCTAAGTGAGTGCTTTTAAATCGGGTACCGAATCCAATTCATTTAAAATCTTATCATCGAGTCTGTGGAATAGGTAAGGAGCGAGTTAAAACTTGAATAACTGACTTAAATATGAAAATCTCTACATTGATAGTGTCGTTTACCTAATCCGTCCACGGTACCTATTTGTTTTCGACCGCTAAATTAGCAATCTTGTGATTTGTGAGCTTTGTATGATAGTTCTACCAATGACATGGCATGGTAAGCCAATTCTCACTTGTCAACAACGAGAAGCTGATCAAGTTTTATAATCTCAAATAGTCAATTTCTCGTATTAATTTTAATAAAATTTTGATGTAATTTTAATAAACTTCCACCTACCAGACAATATCTCAATTCATAAAAAGGACACATGTTCTAGAGTAAAATAATTAACATGTATTAAAATATGTATCGATGTATGATCAACTAAAGAGAAATAAAGAAAAAGATGCCACGAGAAAAACTAGGATTTTTAGATTTTATGAAATCGGTTTCAAATTCTGTCCGATTCCCGAGAAGTTCTTCACTCGTAAACCGGGAATCGGACCGGTTTCAATGAGAACCTGGCACTGGACCGGTTTCAGGGCGGTCCAGTCTGATTTCCAGGTAGAACTGGTCCAGTTGCACGGCCCTAGCGATCATAAGCCAAACGGCTCATTGAACCCACCCAAGCTTATCAGTCCAAAGGACAAAAACCTAGCAAGCAATTGCACAGTCAACCGCGCAGGTGGCCGGCTCAGACCATATAAATTCATATAGGATAATAAATAGACTTGCTCAATGGGCGGGCCTAGATGGGATCGGGCCGGGGCTTGCTCGAGTTTGAACCTTTAGAGGTTCTGTCCAGGCCCGAACTTACAAGCCTAAGCAAGTGCCCAAGGGAAAAACATGGGCGGGCCGGGCCCTCCCATTGACCCACCTTTTTATTTTTTAAGATTACAGCTAAATTTTTTTTAAAAAAGTATGAAAAACAGATGATAAATAATTTTTGGGTTTTTTCTTACTTTATTTTACTACTTCATCTATGAGTTTTATACTATTTTTCTATCCCACATTAGAAATTCGAGCTTATTTTATCCTGCTAGAGTTTATAAATTTTAAATGTCAAAGAAAAACTTATTAATATAACATAATTTATCAAAATTTGTATTAAATATATAGACGCGCAAAGCCTTAAGGTCCTTACCCAGGCATAACTTGCCCACTAGGCGTACCTAAAGTTTTTGCTGGGCTGAAAAATAATGGGCGGGCTGGCGGGTTGCCCGCCCATCGATCAAGTCTACTAATAATCATCTAACATATAAATCTACACTAATATTGATATTATTTGATGTTAATGTATGAAACGTGATATTTTTCAAATTCTCATGATTTTTCAAAAGATAAAACGAGAAGTAAAAACAATTCGGTAGTTAGATATTGATTACGACATTTTTCTTATAGACTTATTTAGCTCATAACTAAATATGCAAGTGTTTGTGAATTATAGCATAGTTGAGGTAAAATATGATAATTCATATATATAATCACCGCCCCAGGTGGAGGTTCTAGGGCACGCGGCCATTGGTGGGTTCGTGTCTCACTGCGGTTGGAACTCCATTTTAGAGAGCTTATGGCACGGAGTGCCAATCGTGACGTGGCCCATATACGCGGAGCAGCAGCTGAACGCCTTCATGATGGTGAAGGAACTGGGCTTGGCGGAGGAGCTGAGGCTGGACTACAAGGGGCACGGCGGTTGTGGCCATCTGGTGCCAGCGGAGGAGATAGAGAGGGCCGTCGAACGCTTGATGGGCGGCGGTGCCGCAGCGACGAGGAAGAAGGTGAAGGAAATGAAGGAGGCGGCGAGGAAGGCCGTGAAGGAAGGTGGGTCTTCGTATCATTCTATTGGAAGGTTGATTCAAGACTTCATCAAGAGCATTGAATAGAAAGCTCAACAGAGAGTTAGCATTTGTCTTCAATTGTAACCATCACGTATGTTACTTTGATCTTGCTCTGTCCTTCATTTCCCATCAGCAATGTGTCCTGCTCCTTTGTTCAGCGAACATGCTTTACTAATTTGTCTGAGTTAATAAAATTACCATTCGAGTTGGCGGGTGGTGGGCGTTGAACTTGATTCTAATCTCGCATCGGTCACTAGAAGAGTGAATTTTTGCAAGTCATTGTATTCGTTTTGCTGGGTAACCATAATGACGGAGCTGTAAGTTACTGACAATTTACTTAGATGAGTTATGAGCTTCTCATGACTAGACTAATGATCTGGTGAGTTTTGATTTAATTGATCGGGTACAAGCTACACTCCTAATACATCAGTCCCTCTGCTTCTAGGTAGATGAACTTGCATTTAGTTGTTCCTTTATAAAATTCCTTCTGAGGAGATGGACGACTTATAATGCATTGGATGATACGTTGAAATCACCCGGAGAAAAGAACCCGAAAGATGTTATTTATCTCCTGAAGGAAGCTCTTTTGTAGTTGAAAGAGAAAGGCATTTATTTGGCTTGAGGATATGGAGATAGCAAACTCTTTGCCTCTCGCATACATGAAGCAGTAAACTTGCATTTTGCATTTACATTTAGACACTGGGAAGAAACTGAAAAGGAATTGGAAATGCAACAGAAGAAGTTAAATCCTCATCCTAATCTTACATGCCATGCCTTAGAAACTTCTCTCTGACAGCACGTAACTCGGATAATGCATTCGTCATGTCCATGCGCTCATTCGGAAGTTTCACCGAGCAGAGGACTCCGATTCTCATTATGTCAGCAACATTTTCCTCAAATCTTACCGTGTCGGCATCACTAATTGGGCCGTTGCCGGTCCCTACAGGATACTCCGCAGATAGCAGTGAAGGGTCTAGGATCTTCAACAAGTTTTTGTGCTGAGCAGTCTTGACAAATTCATGGAGGGTCCATCCATCCTTGAACATAACATCAGTAGGTCTTATTCCGGTGAACATCTCGAGCAACAGTATCCCAAAGCTGTACACATCTCCCTGCAACGATGAAGTACCACCTAGGCCATATTCTAGAAAGCAACATCGGCTTTGTCATGTCAGACGGGTACGTAGTTGGAAATCCATTTTCTTCACTAGAATTCACCATTTTGAATAAGGTATTAACTTGGACCAATATGATTAGAAAGCAGAAGGATTAACATACCTGGAGCTACATAGCCAATGGTTCCTTTTAACCCACCGGAGCTTGCTTGACATTGAGAAGCATCTAGGTTTGTGCTTCCACGAAGAAATCGCGCTAGCCCGAAATCACACACTCGAGCTACCATGTCGTGATCAAGAAGAACGTTGCTTGGCTTTAGATCGCCGTGTACGATGCTCGTCTGGCAATGGTGGTGAAGATATTCAATGGCAGAAGCCACATCAATAGCAATGTCTAACCTCTGGCTGAGACTGAGCTTTGGCATGTCGAGCTGATTTTCGCTAGGGTGCAACCACCGTTCTAAACTACCATTTCGCATCAGGTCGTAGACTAGAGCCTTAAATTCCGCGCCTGTGAAGTCGATACTCGAGCAAACAGTGATGATGTTAACAAGATTTCGGTGGCGTATGTTTCTCAGCGCTTCACATTCTGCCAAGAAACTCTTAAAAGCCCCCTTCTGTTTTAGGTTGAGCACTTTCACTGCCACCTGTCGATTTCCATCTAGCATTCCTCTATACACAGAGCCATGGCTCCCATGGCCAATCAAATTAGATGGTGAGAACTCATCGGTCACTTGGCGGAGCTTTGCATAGGAAACCTTTTGGAAGCGCTCATCTGTTGGCAATGCAGCACTAGGTCTCGTCGTAGATTTCCTCCTCCAGTACACAACAACAATGCAGCATGTCAACACGATTAAAAACGAGACAATTACTGCGATAGATAATTTCAATTTTGGAAGCCTCCTCGGCTTCTTTGTGTTGCGGACTTCGCATGCGGGAAGTCCAAGTTCCTTGATGCCCCCACATAGTTCTTTGTTTCCGATTATTGATATGCGCTTTGTATCTCTGAAAATCCCCTCCTGTGGTACCTCTCCTTCAAGGCTGTTGAAGGACAGATTCAATGCTTCGAGCACAGTGAAATTCTCGAAATAGATGGGAATTTGACCGGACAATCTGTTTCTTGAGAGATTGAGGTACTGAAGGCCAATCAGGGTTCTGAGAGAAGGCGGTATACTTCCTTCAAATAAATTGCCTGCCATGTCCAAGCTTAGCAGCATCAGACACTGGGACAAAGTGCTTGGTATTTCTCCAGTCAGCCTGTTGTCAGAGAGGTCGACATCCACAATTTGGCTCATGTTACCCACTTCAAGGGGTAATGGCCCCGTTAAGGAATTTCGAGCAACATCGAAAGAGAGGGATAGAGAAGAAAGGCCGAAGACCTCTTTGGGTATTGTACCGTTAAGGTTGTTATCTGACAGTAATAGTTCTTGCAATTGTCGACACCACCCAAGACTTGGAGGAATGTAACCTTCTAATTGATTTTCTGAAAGCTCCAGGCGAAGCAATTGGGTGACGTTTCCAAGAGAGGAAGGAATTGCCCCTGAAATCCTATTACGCCAAAGCAAAAGATACGTCAAATTTTGGAGCTTACCAATGCCATGGGGAATCTCACCGCTGATGCTGTTGTTGTATATCGCCAAGACCTGTAGGCCATTCAGCTTCTCGATTTCTGGAGGGATATTACCTGTGATATGGTTTGATCCCAGGAGTAAGAGCTGAAGCGTATTTGTCAAATTGGCAACGGAAGCAGGTATTTCTCCTCTGAATTTGTTGTAGCCGAAAGCTAACAATCTCAGTTTAGTGCAGTTGGTTAAATCGGTGAGGAAACGTAAGCTGTCAGGTCCTGTTAACTGGTTATCGCTAAAACTAATCCTTGTAAGATTCCTCAAGTTTCCAAGATTGGCAGGCACGTTCCCCGTAAAGTAATTAGAAGTGAGAAACAGGTCTTCAAGTCGAGTAGCGTTAGGCAGCGAATGCGGTGCCTGCCCTGAAAATCGGTTTGCTGGAAGGTAAAGCACCCGGAGATGAGGAAAATAGTTGCCAATTTCTGGTGGGATTTCACCATGTAGGCTATTACCCCCTACATCAAGGTAGACAAGTGATGTAAGATTGTATACAGAAGAGGGGATGCGTCCTCTTAGATTATTCAAAGATAAAGCTAGGGTGTTTAATTTTGAGATGCTTCCGAGCTCGGCCGGTATTCGACCTCTTAGGTCATTTTCCCCATACGTAACTCTGTAAGTGAAGATCCATTCCCCAACCAACTTGGAATTCCCCCAGTAAGATTGTTCACTGCGACGTCAAAAACAATGAGTTCTCTCTCAACTAAATACCGAAGCTCGTCAGGTATCCTCCCGCTGAGCCGATTGTACTGCAAATAGAGATACTGCATACCTATGCAAGATGACAAATTCCGTGGTATCTCCCCTTCGAGCTCATTGTTGAAGAGGATGAGAGTCTTCAGTCTGAACAACCTCCCGAACTCTTCTGGAATGTTGCCTCGAAGCCGATTCGCCTGTAGATTAATACGCCTCAAGAAGGTGAGATTCCCTATGTCAGGAGGTATTGTGCCAAGGAGCTTTTGATTATCCAAGTCGAGGGCAGTGACTCTTCCCGCGTGGCGGCGACTGCAAGAAACTCCCGGCCAGTTGCAATGACTAACAGACTCGTTCCAAGAACTCGTGATCCCTTGAAAATCTCCAATCATCTTTCCCTTAAAGGCGAGCAATGCCGCCCTGTCTGTCTCATTTCCGGGATACGAAGCATAGGCAATACAAGTGTTGGAGGGAGTTTGATGTATGACGAGAACGAGGCTGAAAAAAGCTGATACTAAATGCACTCTCAAGTTTGGCAAAGTCGCTTCCATGCTTGATCTGTTAAGACAGAGCAAGCAGAAAGACCAGATGATGGTGTTCTTAAGTTCTCCCAGCCAGCTAGAAGCATGAGATTGACCGTTTAGATTTGGTCCATCCAAAGGCCACAATTAGGTCCACAAAAAAACTTGACTTTTCTTCAAGACCCATAAATTCAAATTAGGTTAACTCTGTACTATACTAATCGTGACAACCCAAATACAATTTGATGCGTACGCTATTTCTGAAGATTTTCTAGGGCGTCCAGACAAGGAAACAACCGCAAGGCGAGCTTGGAACAAGAGTTTGCGCAACGTTTGATAAAAATACTATTAACTTTTGATCGAAGAGGAGTTAGAGAGCCCGTAATACTAATTTGAATAGCTAACTCAGAGTACAATGCTGTATTTCTTTTTTGCCATTGTCTACGGCCCCAAAATCCTTCGTTTTCATAATTTCTGACAACTTTTATGGTTAATTTTCAAGATTCCGAGTGTTTTGCTACTGGGTTCCTATTGCAAACACTTCCCGCCATGAAGACCGCATATGGAAAAATATTTATCACTGACAGTATTTTTAATAATAATCCTTTATTTTTTATGTCCATAGATAGAAACTTTCGTCCTAGAGAGAGAGAGGCTTCTCCAATAAAAAGATCATGGAAAATAACCTTAGAGCATAGAGCATGTTTGCTATTTGATTTGTTCGCGTTTGTTGGGCCACAATAATAAGATTATTAAGAAATGATTGCATTGGAGCAAATCTGGAGGTATGCAAAATGAACTGAAGAAAGACCTTGAATTTTCTTTGGGGGTCCAAAGGCCCACAATTCAATCCCCAGGAAGTTCGAGAACCGGTGGACTTAGCAAGTCATGCGTTAGAAAACAAAAGAGCAAGTCATGTTACGTAGAAGATTACAAATCTTTGGGCTTAAATTCCAGTACAGAAAATCTCAACTTCGCATACAAGCGTTAACGAGGTCGATTCATGGTTGACTAGGCTTATGGCCCGTGCTGCACGCGGGTGACGAATGGACCTGTAATTCAGCATTACTCGTCCGGGAAATTGCCGGACAATTATATGAAGTAACTAGTCGCCAAGTACAAACAAGAGGGTGATGACTTATGTGTCCTGATAAAGACATCTTAAAGAGTATTTGGGGGAAAATCACACTCATGGCACCAAATAATGAAGTTGTCTCGTCTTAAAAATGAAGAATTTTCGCTCTGAAGTTTGAACCACTTTGTCCGAGTAAGCCTGAAATAT